AAAGGGCAGGGGAATGGCTAAAGACCACAAATTAACTTAGTGGTAGGATGGAGGGGCAGGGGGAAGAGAAAAAGCTATTGTCAATCTCCCGGATGTGCTCAAACAAAGGGTGTCTCAGATTACCTGCTACAGTTACCACAAGCTCCCTTGAAAGGCCAAATATCCTGTTATCCATGTCAAACACGATCACCACAGAGCTGGCAGCATCATGGTGCACACGTACCTGGGGAAAAATGCACAGGCTGAGAATGTTTAATGTTGTGTGAACATCTAGGTAGGAGAGAAGCACATGAAAGCCACGTGGATTTGCCCAACAGCAGCAAGTGTGATGCAGAGGCAAGCCACATCTTAGAACTATGTCACCAAGGGATCACGCTGGGATGTTCTCTGCACAAATTAAACACAGCCACACCTGGCTGAAAAGCAATGTTGTTCAGCAGCTAATAAACTCTAAACAGATGAAATCACAAGACTGAGTAGGACCCTTAGACAAGTCTAGTCATCGAAGTGTGCCACATAGAAGACGGGGAAGCAGAGATCCTGTGATACGGTTGCACACTCACCCGTACATGCTGCTGCTGATATCCTTCAGCTATTGCACTGATGTTATGTAAGCCCGGAGCCAACAGCACATGGAAATAGCCACCTTCCTTTGTATAGATTTTCACACCGTCATTGAGTACAATGATGGCCTTCGACACCGGCTTTCCACTCTTGTCTTGAACAAATCCATGGACTCCCTTATGAACCTGAAATCAAGAGCGTCAAGAGTTCAGACCCAGAAGTGGGGGGAGATATTCAAGTGTGTGAGGAGTTAGAGTGTGAAATAGAGCAGGGGCTCTCAATGCTATCAAACTCCATGACCCATCGATACCGTAATAAATGGTTTTCCGCATATAAAGTCCAAAACCAAGATCAGGGAGCAGCAGGCAGGGCAACTGCTCACAGCCCTGCACTACAGGGGGCACCACAAAGCTAAGTAGCTCAGGCCTTAGCAGTAGCCCTGGGTGGTACGCTCGGTGTCCTGGGCTGCTATGGGAAGACTTTGGCCTTCTGCCCTTGACCCTAGCACGTTTTAGGGGGTCCACCAAGGAGGCCCTGGACTTCTGGTTGAGAAGCAATGAAAACGAGCACCACCCTCTGCTTGGTAAGTAAAATGCACAATGCAAGGAAGGGCTGACAGAGCAGGACCAAGCCGCTACCCAACACCCTTGCTGACATCTCATTCCTCTGGATCTACCACTATGGGACTCCAGCCGAAAGGACAGGCTGCAAGTATCTGTGTGCTCCCCTTGCAGATTCTTCTCTCAGAACCATGAATCTCTCACCTCCACAAGCATGCCAAGGAGAGATTTCTTATTCTCTGTCCACAGACTAGGGAGCTGTCCAGCATTTGGGAAGTAGCAGCAGCTGGTATACACTGTGATCTCGGGGCAATGGCCAAACGTGACACTGAAATCCTGAAAGACAGGGGAAGGGGTTGACACAGACAAGTGTTTAAAAGGAAACCTCATTCCAAAGCTAACTGGTGACTTTGGCATAGCTTTGCCCAGAAAATCTGCTCCTTTAACACTACAGTAGAACCTCAGAGTTACAAACTGAGAAGTCACCCACATACAGGGTTGCCAACCATCAGTAAATTTATGGACAGTCCGTAAAAAATTAGCCGAAATTGGACATGTCCGTCAAGACAGTAAAAAAAAAAAAAATGTAGGTGTCTGTAAATTTCACAAAAAGGCAATACAATTTCAAAAAACAGCAATTATTCTACAGCAATTAAATCTCCTCTGTGCTGCTTCAGCCATTTTACTGGGGAGCAGCAGAAATTGGACGTTTTAGTTGAGGTGATGTAACGTGAATCATGTGATGTTACCATCTGCTAACTAAATGAAAGTGAGTTAAATAGCATATTGTTCTTGTGATGTATGAATGACAATGATTACTTTTCACTTTTGACCATTTACGTCGTCTTAATATAGTATAAAATTTATGTCCAAAAAAAATTTGTCTGTCCATAAATTTTTCCCATTTTGTCCATAAATGAAATTTCTGTGGGTTGGCAACCCTGCCCACACACCTATTTGGAACTAGAAGTACACAACAAGGCTGCAGCACACACGATTACAAAAAGCCCAATCTCCACAACACAAAACAGTACAATAGCAACTACCAGGGAAAGGGAAGGCAGCATACCTTCATACTGCCCAGGTGACTGTGCCACTCTGCCCCACGGATCACACCTCCAGGAATGTTCTTATCTGTACCAAGGGACAAGAGTCAGAAAACCCTCTGCAAGGAGTGGATAACACAAAAAGAACCTCAGTTCAGGACACCATATGCAGTTACCTGACTCATTCGTACAGCCTGGCTGACCCAGATGCATTGTTGGATGGTTGTTCGCATACAGCGATGCCAAATGTTGCAGAGTTTCTTTATTTTCCACTAGAAAGAGAAGGTTAGAACATTAGGAGGAGCTGCCCTTAATGGAGGCAAACTCAATTCATGCCATAGCAGCGTACAGATGGACTTAAAACAGGTTTACGGGCTGAATAGTTTCTAAACTGCATTTCCTGAACATTCTGAAGTTTGGCCAAATGGATCCTACCACTGAATCCCATTGCAATGGCTTGTTTTTAACGGCTACCAGATCAAACACGCTCAACACTTCCTGCAATGGAGAGTTCAAAATCAGTCTTTACACTGGATAGGCCAAACATAGGGAACAGTGAACCATCTTACAAGGGGCTAGCATTATTGCCAGGAAGCCTCAGAATTTTCATTTCCCTCTCACTTCAGATAAGAGGAACCCACTCAAACACAAATGACTGGCTATGCAGCTAAAACAGGACTACTGAAACAGTAACTGCTGAGTACGGAGGGTTGGGAGGAGTCTGGGTTACCTGTCTGCACAGGTTTATCATACGGGTAAGTTACGAGCAGAGCGCCACCATCCAGTGCAACAGAGAGGCTGAAATCTCGCTTCAGGATCAAGTTCTCAACGATTGCTTTGGTCTCTGGCTGTCCCATCCCAGGGTACAAGGAGAAGTTGCCTAAAAACAGAACAAAGGAAGTCATAAGAGCTCAGCAAAAGAGTCTCCTGGGATAAAGGTTTCCAGAAATATGCTCTTTGCTAGTGTTGGTACTGATGCCAGCTGCAAGTGATTATGAAGCTATTTCTGTGGGGCCCTTGCCAAAGCACGTGGCACCTTACACCCTTTAAAAATGCACATGGTCACTCAAGACAGACATAGAATCCTAGATCTGAAGGGACCTTGAGAGTTCATCAAGTCCAGTCCCCTGCCCTCACAGCAGGACCAAGCACCATCTAGACCATCCCTAACAGATGTCTGTCTAAACTGCTCTTAAATATCTTCAAACAGAGAGATTCCACAACCTCCCTAGGCAATTTATTCCAGTGTTTAACCACCCTAACAGTTAGGAAGTTTTTCCTAATGTCCAACCTAAATCTCCCTCACTGCAGTTTAAGCTCATTGCTTCTTGTCCTATCATCAGAGGTCAAGGAGAACAATTTTTCTCCCTCCTCCTTGTGACACCCTTTTAGATACTTGAAAACTGCTCTCATGTCCCCTCTGTCTTCTCTTTTCTAAACTAAACAAACCCATTTCTTTCAGTCTTCCCTCATAGCTCATGTTTTCTAGACCTTTAATCATGTGTTGCTCTTCTCTGGACCTTCTCCAAATCTTTCTTGAAATGTGATGTCCAGAACTGGACACAATACTCCACCTGGGGCCTAATCAGTGCAGAGCAGAGTGGAAGAATGACTTCTCATGTCTTGCTCACAACACCCCTGTTAATGCATCCCAGAATCGTGTTTGCTTTTTTTGCAACAGTGTCACACTGTTGACTCATATTTCGCTTATGGTCCACTATGACCCCCTAGATCATTTTCAGCAATACTCCTTCCTAAACAGTCGCTTCCCATTCTGTATGTGTGAGACTGATTGTTTCTTCCTAAGTGGAGTACTTTGCATTTGTCTCCAGATCATTTTGAATGATGACCCTATCCTCCAAAGCACTTGCAATCCCTCCCAGCTTGGTGGTATCTGCAAACTTAATAAGCGTCCTCTCTATGCCAATATCTAAATTGCTGATAAAATATTGAACAGAACCAGTCCCAAAACATACTCCTGCAGAACCCCACTTGTTATGTGAACCATTAATAACTACTCTCTGAGAATGGTTATATGTCAGTTATGCACCCATCTAGGTTCTATTTCCCTAGTTTATTGTTAATAACATTGTGCAAGACCGTATCAAATGCTTTACTAAAGTCTAGGTATACCATGTCTACTGCTTCTCCCTTTTCCACAAGACAGGTTATCAAAGAAAACTATCAGATTGGTTTGACATGATTTATTCTTTACAAATCCATTCTGACTGTTACTTATCACCTTGTTATCTTCCAGATGTTTGCAGATGAATTCCTTAATTACTTGCTCCGTTATCTTCCCTGGCACAGAAGTTAAACTGACTGGTCTGTAGTTTCCTGAGTTGTTCTTATTTCCCTTTTTATAGATGGGCACTAGATTTGCCCTTTTCCAGTCTTCTGGAATCGCTCCCGAATTGCATGATTTTTCTAAATGATAGCTAAAGACTCAGATACTGCCTCTATCAGCTCCTTGAGTATTCTAGGATGCATTTCATCAGGCCCTGGTAACTTGCAAACATCTAACTTTTCTAAGTGATTTTAGCTTTTATTTATTTTTAAACCTACTCCATTTCCACTAGCACTTGCTATGCTGGGCATTCTGTCACCGATCTTCTTGATGAATACCAAAACTAAGAAGTCATTGAACATCTCTGCCATTTCCAAATTTCCTGTTATTGTTTCTCCCTCATCACTGAGCATTGGGACTACCCCTGTCCTTGATCTTCCTTTTGCTTCTAGTATATTTGTAGAATGTCTTCCAGTCAATTAATGGGTGCATTTGTCCACCACTTTCAATATTGAATAGACCTTGCAGGTTACTATTTCCCCCAAAAGCCATGCCATGCTTCATGTTTTTCCATGCAACAAAACCAGCCAAAAAACCCCAGTCCAGCACTCAGACAGGACAGACTTGTGGGGCTCCAATGTAACAGCTTTAGACAATGAAGGTGCAGCATTGAGCAAACTCCAGAAGATGGAGGAAGTCAACAGCACAAAGGAGGAGAGTGTCTGGATTTAAAGGATCTTCCCTGCCCTCCTCCCAGAACAATGAAGTCAATATCAAAAGTCACTTGAGGTCTTGGATCTTAGATGCTACTACATAGACTATGTCATGAACAAACCAGGATTTTTTCCTCCTTCACACAAAAGAGGTTACAGAAGGTAACTTGAACTCATCAGGATATCCCATCCAGTTAGAACAGATACGTAACTGAAGCAGACAGTGGTGCCAGACCTTACGAGAACACAACTAGCCATGTTCAAACGGTTAACTGGTTAAACGCTAGTGTTTAACCAGTTGACCAATAACTTAATTGGTGTGACTTGCCGCTGTCAGAGTTCATCAGCAAGGACTGGTTAACAGGCAAGCATATCAATAAGCCTCATGCTTCTGCTTACCAGGTAACCATTTAACATCCCTAAATATGACTGACACCAAGTCTAGCATGGTTATGCGGGAGATCTGGCAGAAACCAGCATAACGGTGAACCAGAGAATAACTGTTAATTAGCTTTACTTGTGAAGTCAGTGTCCAGATCTTTGCCACGAGCATTGGTTTGTCCAATCCTGGATGAGCAGTCTCTCTCTTGAGCAATCTCGCGCCCATCTGGATTTAGGGAAGGTACAATCACAATTCTGGTCCTGTCAATGAGCTACACACAGAGAGAAGACTAAGTTCAAAAGATTCTCCCAGGTTTTCACAGCCAGTGATGACAGACAGTGAAGAATTCCCTGCACCTTCGCTTGCTCAGGTTCCAGGAAGCGCTGCCTACTCCACAAAAGAGTTTGTCCTGAGTTTTCAGCATTGTGCCCAGGATGACAGATCCAGGCCAGCCGCCCCACAACAATCAGGATGGGACACCCTATCAACTCCCACTGACTTTTCAGGAGCCTTCCCCTGCCCTCCTCAAAGGCTTGGTCCCTCAGAGTTCACACACTGTCCTCAGCGCCCATCCCCCACCCAATATTTACACCAGGAAGTTTTCTGGATTTCATATAACCACAGTCCCACATTAGGAGGAGGATTTCACCCATTAACCACCCTTTATTCGGGCCACGACCCTGTGGCTGGTCGAGCAGCTGTCACCGGGCACTGGTTCCTTACCTTGGTGATGGCTGCGTTCTTTTTGTAGTTCATACAGAGGAACTCCGCCAATGCCAAGAGCAGTTCTGTGCCAACTGGAGCATTTCCATGGATACCAGCCACAAAGCGGATCTTGGGCTCCTCGGGCTCAGACTGGTTGGGTTTGTTGGATATTTCGAGGGACGAGATTTGACGGTACTCAACACTGTGGCCCAAGCTGCCAGGTGAGAAACAAGTCCCAATTATTTATGGCTGGAGAGCCACCTTTGTACAGGTCAATGAGGGCCAGGAAGGGAGCAAAGCTGTTCCCAACAGAAAGGGACAAAGAAGAATTCCCTGCAATTCTGTGTTGCATCACTAAGTGAGAGAACAACAACAGCGTGTGTCCTGCCCAGCCAGAACTGCCTGCCTGCCTAACATTTGCAGGATGCAAGCATACATGCAAAGCTGCTGAGTAAGAGTCAAAAATAACTGGTCCTACTCCAGGAGATTCTTTGACACGCAGAAGAAAATCAAAGCCTGAAAGCTGAAATCTACTGAAACTGAGCTGATTTGGAGATTAGCAATACTGGTGAACAAGCAGTGAGAACTATGGAGGGGGACATTGTGATAAAAGGGTACGTTTAAAGGCCCACACTGTGAGAAGTGACTGAATGTTCACAAGAACATTAGAATGACCTATGCAGTGTTGTTGAGGTCATGGTGGTCTTAGGACAGAAGAGTCATGAGGTGGGAGAGGTCATAACTTATTGGACCAACTGTGAAGAGAGAGACAGGCCAGCTTTCGAGCTTATCTTACCAGAAGATTTCCTGGTGTAAGCATGGCGGGGGAAGGGAGGGAGGTTTGAGGACAGGAGAGCTCTGTGTGGCTTGAAAGCTCCTCTCCTTTCACCGACAGAAGATGGTCCAATAATACAGATAATCTTACCCACAGTGAGCACGCTTACAGATAGAATTCAAGCACTGTTCAAATCATGCCTGCCAAGCAAGAGAAATCTGGGACTAGAAATCAACGAGCAAGTGTCACAACTTAGACTTAATTTGTGGACAAAATAAATAGATTAGAGACAGACTCTGGCTAGATCCTATATGCCACTTGGGATTTGAGTTTGTCTTCCTCTCCCCTACCTTGTCCCGTCCCCCCGCTTTCTATCAAATAAGCCTGGCTTATCTGGACAAAACAGCAATATTTTACAACATTGCTGTAAGCCTGTGAGCAGAAAGGTAGCTAAATCGAAAGCCCTCAATGGCCTGATGCAGATAAAATGTTGCCATGTCTCAGGAGAGCTGATAAGGCTCATTGCTATGTTCCTATGTTTTTCCAGCAGTGAGATGATGATGTGACAGAAGTGGCATTTTCCATCTCCACTGTTCTTTTTCCTTCCCTCCTGGGTGTGCTTGTCTTGTCTTGTCTTTTAAAAAATGGAAATGGACTTCAACCGCTCCAGCTTATCTCAACTACATTTTGCCCAACAGGACACAGATCTTTAATGCCCATTATGAGATTGTCAGACAAAATTCTTTAGAGCTAAGAGGACAGAACGAGGAATGTTGTTACAATGAAAGCATTGCCCAACACATTTTGATGCTTTCACTGGGTTTCCTTTATCTTTAAAAAAATGTTAGAAGGATTTATAGCATGTCTGCAAGGTGCTGAGCAGAATCAGGTCTTCTACTAAACCTTGGACCTTGTATACGATTGAAATGTTAGACACTCACGTGGGGACGTTAACACCTCTGACTCTGAGGGTGCATATACCCCATCAACTTTAATACAGCATAAGAGGGATGCTGCCAAGGCCCATTTATAAACCCTTCTATTGACACTGATGAATATAGCCCCAATGCTAATGGATCCAACTGTGACTGGATTTGCCACTGAGAAAAGCAAAAGGAGGAAAACCACAAACCAAATTCCCATCATCTGAGGAGGTCACAGCTGACGACACAAGCCATGGGTCACTGCCATTAATCATCACAACCAGGAAGTACAAGAGGGTACAGATGAGAACAGCAACTCTTGTGAGCAGCACACTAGCATGCAATGCCTGGCAATAATTGAGCCAACAATGCGTGGGAGGCATTTAAATCAGCAGATTGCACCAGGTGCCATTCTAACCCCAACCCTAAGCGAAAGGACAAAGTGAAGGACCACAGCTGACAGAGGAGCACATATGGGAGGGCTCGGGCCTTGAACTAGGAAGGTAACCCAGAGGTGGTCTCTAGGGCGACAGTGACCTGGAAGAGATTACCAAGTCACAAAGGAAGGAAAGAACAAAGGAATGTCTGGGATCATTCTGCATGGAACCACGCAGGACAGGGCCATTCGGGATGCCTCTCCAACCGATTGCTTTGGTAAGTGACACTGTACCATTCTGGGTAGGAAGGTCAGAGGGAGCTAGAGAGGAGGGAATCCAGAGACAGAGACATTAGTAGAGCGTATGGGAAAAGACGCATGCACAGACTAGCATTCAAGTGAGCCAGGGCTGGGTCTCCTTTATCTAGAGAGTTACAGCTCTTCTCCAGGACCTCGATGTTCCTACTGTGTGATGGATAAAGAGCTCGCTGCTGTCAGTGACAGATTTGTATCTTAAACAACCAATAGTCTGGTAGTACTTTATAGACTAGCAAAACATGTAGATGGTGTCATGAGCTTTTGTGAGCACAGCCCACTTCTTCAGCTGACCAAAGTGTCATATGAAGTGGGCTATGCCCACAAAAGCACATGACACCGCCTACACGTTTTGTTAGTCTGTACAGGATACAGGATACACTTAAACAACAACAAATGGTCTGGTAGCACTTTATAGACTAACTCAGCTACCCCCTGAAGATTTGTAACTGTGATAATACCTATTTGTCTGCTTCTTGGCCTCCCATCAAGAAACACACAACATGTCTGCTCATTTCTGCCTTCCTCCCTAAAGGGCCTTTTGGATTCTCCATCTTTCCCATTCATATTTCAGTCTTCTTCCCTCTGTCCCAAACTGTTGATTAATCTGAACAGAAGGCAAACATTTTCCTGGATGTTTCAGTGACCATCCAAAGCCACTACAGCTTTGAGATTATAGCTCCATCTGCCATCCAGTACAGATACCTGCTACAGGTATTGTCTGTCATTTGACATTAGGCACCTTCTGATGGAGACTCTAGCTTCCTGTGTATGGAACATGGTGAGCACACTCGCGGCAGGACCATCATGTGCCATTTGCTACTCTCTAGCCGCAGGCTGTTTCTTTGAGAGGCAGTGAGCCAGAAGCAGCATCACTTACGTGGTGAGATTTGTGATCTGGGGGTAGTTCAAGTTGAGGGCTCTCAGAAAGTCAGACAGGTCTTTGTACGGATGGTAGCGGTAGGGAGAAACATCCATCGAAGAGTTTAGCACGAGGCGTTCCAAACCACTCTCAGCAGAGAGGTCTTTGATCAGGCTCTCAAACTCCTTGGTAGAGGGATCGCTAGTGTCTTCGTTCTTGATGATGGGTGTCTTCCCCTCCTCAACTTTGGAGTCTGTTCGTGACAGAGTGAAGTTGACTTGCACTGCACCTTTATCCCCAACACTGACAGTCTTGGTGAGCGGGTTATACCTGCCCGAGAACACAACATACATGGAAACTGAAAGTAGGTTCGAAAGCTACATTTGTTGCAATACCTTCCCCAGCAGGACATCATGTTAGGCTGTAACCTGCTCTTGATCAAACTAGGGCAAGGTGCACAGCAAAGGAAAACAAAACAATAGCAAGTCAGTCCGAGAAAAGACATTATGAATACCATGCGGGGCAGAGGACTCAGAGTGGGAGGCAGAGATCGCCATAGATAACTGCAGTTCCTACTAGCAGGTGGAGCTGGGGAAATTCAGCAGCTCAGGTACTGTGGCCAAAACTATCAGGTGGGTCTTTCGAGACAGCTTTGACCAGAAGGGTAACCTGGGGTTGGGAGAACCAGAGCAATTAACGAAGCTATTCTTGAGTAGCTGTCTACAGAGAAGCTTCTCTGAAACACATACCTACTTAACTTATTAACCATGTTCCATCACAGGTAACCATCTGTGACTGACTCCCTTGTGAGAACTACCATTCCCATGATTGGCAGTTCTGTGGACTAAATGCCCTCTATTAAAGTTTTCAGTGGGTTGGAGTCCAGGGGGTGTTAAGTGCTGTGCTCAGGATAAGCACAGGTCCCAGCACTCACTTCAGGCTGAAGGGAAGAGGCACTAGTAACAGCTGAATGAGGGGAAGGTTTGTCCAAGGTGCCAGTCACTCACCCTCGGGCAGATGCTGTGATTCTGTAAGATCCTTGGACCAACAGGCGCCAGTAGTCCCCAGCCTTGTAAGTCGTGACAGGGTGGTCGATGTCAGCAACACTAATGGTAGCATTTGAGATGCCCCTTCCATCTGTGGCATCCAGCACAAATCCCCTGACACCCCGGTGAACCTGGACAGAGGATAAGAAAACCAACATGGTTCAGTGTCAACAAATTGGAGGCATTTACACCACTCAGCATTGTGATATTCACACAATGAGTAACGCACCCCACGAGTAATGGCAACAAGCAGCAAATCGCTGTGCATTCCCTGTCAATTCTAGTCCTGCGGGACGTGAAGGGAATCTGGGCCCAACAGGGCTGGCCCACATCATTTTGGCACCTGAGGCGGGGAGCTCAAATGACACCGACATGCCCCCTCGCTTGGGCCAAAACTCTGAAAGGGTCAATTCTGCCTTCTTCCTGTTCTACTCCTCTCGTGGTACTGCTCTACCACCTACCCCAATAAAGGAGAACTTAAAATGCCTTGTTCAAAAAGTGTGAACTAGTGGTGCTCCCCCCACCTGAGGCGGCCACTTCAGTTCGTCTCATGGTAAGGCCAGCTCTGGGGTCCAGGTTCCCAATGTACTCTGTGATACCCTGTTTGAAGCCAGTTTCCTCTGAGGGGCACAAGTTTCACTGAAGCCGCAGTGGTACATCTTAGGGATGCGAATGACTAGTCGACTCTCTGATAAGCAAATGCTTATCGGATAGTCAACAAGCTTGTCGACTACCCCCCCTCCCCCGCCTATCAGAAAGAGGCAGCAAATGGGGGGAGAAGGTGGTACTTCAAAGTGGCAGCACCGTGTAGAGACTGGGGCCAAACCCCAGGCTCCATACGGTGCTGCTGTTTTGAAATGCCACACAGCCCGGGGCCAGCTGGGGTGTTCCCAGGCTGCACATGGTGTTTCAAAGCAGCAGCTCCATGTGGAGCCAGGCCAGGTTCAGTGGGGGAGTCCCCAGCTGATCCCAGGCTCCACGCAGCGCTGCCACTTTGAAATGCCACGAGGAGCCTCATGCTGCGCTCCCCACAGTGTTTCAAAGCGACAGCACCGCATAGAGCCCAGGGCCAATGGGGGAGTCCACAGCTGACCCCAGGCTCCATGCGGCGCTTTCACTTTAAAGTGTTGCAACAGCCCAAGGGCTGTTTCTACACTTCAAAGGCGGAGGCGCCCTATTGACTAGTCAAAATGCCTCCACAGCGCTGCCACACCAAATCCCACAGAACCAACTGCATGGAGTCTCCTCCAAACTTCTGAAAGGTTAAGATACTCCAGTTAAAGTTTAAGCTATTGAGCAAGCATCACTGGCTTAAACTTCCATAAGGATTCCTGCTATGATCACAACTCATTTGCGGGTTTGTTTTTTTTTAAATCGGGGTGCAACAGTCACCCTTCTGGCCAAGCAGCAGTGCTCCTTCCAATCTGTAGATGAACCCAGAGATAGACACACTGAGGGTCCTCTAATATGAACAGATTTATCTGGGATACTTCAGAAGCACTGTAAAGCATCATGCAGCATTTCTGTCCCTGCTGGCTGCTGACTGTAGCAGCTTACCTGCTTTATGAACTGGATCAGAGACCGGTGGTTCTGCTCCCAGTACTTTGGCAAGTCTTCAGCATTTGGGTATTTCACACAGCCTAACTCAATGGTCACTTCAAAACAGTTTGTGTTTAAATAGTTCCAATCTTGCATCCCACCTATGGCAGAAACATCAGAACCATAGTTAAGTACCTCAAAGTCTTCTTACAAGAATCATAAAATACTCTGGCTGTTAAGCTGTAGCATATGGAGGCATTAGAGATGTCACCCTATGTGCATATATCTAATAGCAAAATGCTGCCTTGTACAGAAAAGCGAAGAGGTTGACACAGGGTGAGGCCTCCCCCAATGCAGGCTTCAGAGATGCAGTTCGGACAGGTTTATTACTAAACTAGACACTTTTCATGCTTGTATCTCAAAAATATAGATGGTAGCAAGTTATGTTTAAGCATTCCATACCCCCTTCCCAACACAAACAAGCACAGCCCACCTGACCACAGGCAGGCATAGCGCAGTTTCACCCAGTTCAAAATGTTTTTGTCCAACTACAAATTAGAGATTGTAAGACCCTGAGAGCCAGATCCACCACGAAGAGATCTAGGTGATGAACTGGAAATTCTAGACAGAATCTCGTGTCCACAGATACATTCAAATGGAAAATAAGACTTGAGAGCCAGCGTACTCCAGGCCACAAACACTTTTCCCCCACATGGTGTTTTACCTTGAACATTGTACCAGTGAGCCCCATTAGTGATGCCATGGGGGAAATACTCATTGGGGTACATGTCCTTGCAAGGGTTGCCCTGGTACATCTGAGTATTTTCCTGGGAAAAAAAAAAAAAAAAAAAAGAAGTGATCACACATGAACTCTGGACTTGGCACGTATTGTGGTGACACTTTCCACGTTAAGTCCGTTATATTTTAATATGCATCTTGAACTGGCAGCATGTGTTAAATACGGAAGGGTATTTATGAACATATATAGCCACACAGAGCACCGTTCTCTGAACTAATGCTAATCCAGTGCTGATTATCTACGGCCACAGAGCACCCGCCCATGTCTGGTCACACCCATGCTTCCTGTTGTGGCTCATCTGCAATATACCACTGTCCCTCCACCAAGGGTCTTGCATACACATTCAAATACTCCATTTCTATGGCTTCCAAATACATAGACAACATGCTGTTCCTACAGCACCTGATTATTCTGGAAATTAGCTCCTGCAAAGACAGCCTCTTGCAAGACTGGTTCTGCTGGAATCCCAAGACAGACAGCAACATTACAGTTTCAGGGCAAGACTCCATGAACTTCACCTACACTTAAGTGTTTTTTCCAACAGTTCAAGCATTTTTTGCCAACTGGTCAAAAGCAGTTACCCAGGTGCAATGTGCACTTGCTTTGTTTTTAAATTATAACCTTACCTTGGAATAAGAAAGCGCAAGCTGCTGAAACACAGCATCGTCTGGTGATTTACTGTAGATGGCTATTCCTTTCTCATCATCATCAAAGGGGTAATTAACCACTAAAGAACCTGCAGGGGAAGGAAGACACTACTTAGCGTGCTTTTTAGAATGGATTTTTAAAGAAAGGATGCATTTAAAAACAAGTCTGTGCATTTGCCAAGGCTTAGAATCAGCCACCGTACTAAGCCAGGTAGATAAAGGAGGCAATGAACATGTACTAACAGTTACCAATCCACTAGGGATGTAAGTATCATTTTAAAGAGCACTTGTTGAAACATGAATTATATCGGTTAACCATTTAATGATTAACATGATGATGGTGCAGGACTGTCACCTGGCTCTGTGCTGCAGGGGTTCAGGCTACTGCGCCAACTTATTTTAAATGATAACTGCAATATATTAACAGGAAGAGCAATACTTATCAGTTAATCATTTAATATTTCACATCCCTCTAGTGGTATGTTCAAAAAAATGTCATAGCAATTCTAAACCTGGAGCACTGCAACTCAGCATTTTGCCCCCGCGTGTAAGAAAGCTGGGCACAGAGCATGGGGGGCAATTTTCATCTGAGATGGAAAAGCCAGAGACCAGGAGGTTTACAGAAGGAGGAGTGGAATTTGAGTCAGTAGTACCCTTGACCAGCTGCAGTTACAACATTACATCCCTTCACCCCTTAGGATGACTTCTTGTTACAAGCTTCTGTGCATAATTAAGTCGAATTAAAGTCTCAGAGGGGTTGCCGTGAGTCTGTACCCACAAAAACGCGTCCTGTGGCACCTTAAAGGCTAACAGATTTATTTGGATATAAGCTTTTGGCGTAAAAAAATCTCAGATAGCATTGTCACCAGTTTGCATGAACTGATTTCAACTTGAATTTAGATCATTCCAAAAGGCAACTAATTCAATTATTGGGACTCTAGTAGCTGAGCCAAACAGTGAGGAGATGATGTCAAGCAGTTCCATTAAATCCCTTGATGTTCTATGGAACGAGACATCTAGCCAATCTGGATACGTGGTGCAGCAGACACACTTAAGGTGAAGAACACTGAACCACCCAGAAGTTAATTCCATGGAGACCAACACGGCTCATTTAAAGGTGCTTTTGTTGTGCTCATCACTAGTAGACCTAGGTGCCTCCAGATTTGGAAAGAATGTCATAATTTCCTCTCAAGAGGGCCAGATGAACTGCTCCCCTCAGGGGTAAGTGGCTGTAGACTTCTGCCAAAGGCCCCTCCTTAATGCATTATTGATCTATTTAGGCAAGAGCCTGGCAACTGGCCAAAGGAAGCCAATTCCATGACAGAGAAAATTCTGCAGCTCTTCCTAGATACAGAGCTGAAGCACACAAGTATCACGCAGCCTCCACAATGGGGCACAGTGACCACCCTTCTCCCACTAGGTAGTTTTACAGCAGGCTCATTTTGTCTACATACCTCCATGCAAGTTTGCTGAGAGTACGAATGGAAAGGCCTTAAGCCAGTTTATGACAGCGACGGTCTCTGGCTGCAGCGGGTCAGTCGTTGGGAGGAACTGGTCTGGGAAGTTTCGGTTCAGGTCATAGCTGTTACTATTGTTTCTGCCAACCGTGCTGCTTCTGTCTCCTGAAGAAAAGACAAATATGTTCAGCCTGCATGCCCCACTCAGAGCAGCACAAATTCATTACCAGCTTGCTTCAATGCAAAGGAAAGAGAGGGGATTGCTCTGAGACTGCCCAGAACACAGAACTCTCCACCAGCCCCACGGAGGTTAGAAATACATTAAGGGGCTGGTTTCCTACACCTGTCCTCTCCAGTCCCCTAAGGAGGAAGCCCACTTCTTGCATGAAGATCTTGGGAAAGCAGCCTGCCAGGTGGCATGGACACTTATGCGGCTTTGCCTTCTGCTCTCCCTAGGTTTCTGATTTCATTACAGTCAGTACACAGAGAGATGACAAGTGCCGTTTAAACGAGGGAATAATCTACATGGACTGATGTCATAATCAGAAAAACCCCAGAGCTGCTCTCTCCAAACTAGTTTCATTACCAGTAATGTAATCAAGTAAACAGCAACTACTGCTTGAAGAACTGGCTTTGCCCTCCCAATTTGCATAGCTACAACCTTCAGAGAGTTCACAAAGAGCTGCTTTACCAACTCCAACATCGCAATAAGACTCCGTTAATGATCCTTGGAAACATACTTTTCAGAGTGCCAGTCTCCGAGCATGGATCTTATAAGTCTGCAGTTGTTGCTGAAGCATAAGGGCACCGTAACCATTTAGAACACAGGCACAGGACTTCGCACATCAATAAAAGCGGATGTGCGCTCCCACACAGGAGAAGCGAGCCAGTTCTCTGCCCTTCTGGGTCAGGAAAAGTTACGTGCAAATGGAAGTTAGGCTCCTGACCCTTTCACAGTGACACTCTCTAGTGCTCACTCTTGAGCCTATAGAACATGAAAGGCTGTTCAGTAACATGCAGAGCTACCTTCTTGGGATTTTTCGTAGCCATCGGGGTTCATGGAAGGCATGATGTGGATTCGAGTATTAAGGATCAACTCTGTGACTTCAGGGTCTGATCCAAAGTTCTTGCAGAGATAATCGATAAGATTCAGAAGCAATTCTCGACCTACTACTTCATTCCCGTGCATATTCCCAATGTACTTGAACTCTGGTTCACCTGGACAGAACAGACGTTTCAGCAACAGAACCATGGCTTTGTCACTATAATAGACAGCAATACTTGGAGACACCCCGACACAGTAAAGCCAGTCTGAACACCAGCACCTCAAGACCACATGCGATGGGCCACTGAAATCCCTTGTAGGCTCTCCCCGAGTTTATTTCCTGCAGTGACATGGCATCAGCCTTGCTACAGGGATAGGACAACTCCAAGGGAAGATAGCTGTGCCAGGAATTTGCTCTACATGGTCAAGACAGAGTTACCCCCAAATCCCTTTAAGAGTGACTCAGATGAGGAAGGCAGCATTTCTGCCTGCTGCAGAAGCACCCCCATCCGCAGCGTGATGTAGCAGGCCCAGCTAGGCTGAAACAGCTCCCCGCCTGCAGCACAATATAGGCAGGGAGCTGCTTGGACGGGGCCAGCAATTACTGGTAAGACTGGTCATTGGTTACCCCTTTATATCCATAGCAGGCAGTGTCCAAGAACTGCCACCACAGGGGATGCCTCCCCATTTCCCTGGGCAGCTCAGGCAATGTACCTGGGCAGACCAGGGAACTAAGCCCTGCACAGCAGGTCTGTTTCATACTTGGGAAGAGCATCTGAGTCTGGCCATTCTGGCTGCAATGTTTGGCTTGTGTTAGAGCAGCAGGATCTCTGCTCACTCGCAGAGTGGAATGCGAGCAGGACCAGCCACACCAAGGCTCGAGGGCACCAGCTGGCGTCTGTACCCAAGAGTGCAGAAGAAACAGTTCTACTTGCAAAGCTTTCTAAACGCTAATAAATCTCGCCAAGACAGCACTGGGGCCTCCCACAGAGGGTCAAGGGGCTGTGAAAGAACCACTCGGAAGGGCTTCCTTATATAACCAAGTGCTCCCTATAAATGCTTCTGCTCCTCTTGAAATTGAACCCCCAATATGCTCGGTTATTTCCAATAGGATGGCCTTGTCCCTGCCAGGCCAGCCTCACAATCCACCTGCCCCTCCCCCCGACTTCCCAGTCTGTCCATACAGCTCCACAGCGGCATTCCCAGGCATCCGAGATGCCATCTGGCAGAGGCCCGGATGCATACCCTGCCACACGCTACAGAAAGATTTCATGGAACTGGCAGATTACCTGGCTCGTGGATGCCCGGGTTGTCTGATATCTCCATCACATACAGTTCCCTTTGCTCCACTGACTTGCCCACCGAGTAGAGGCGTGTGATGTTGGTGTACTCGCTGGCGTACCGCCTCAGGAAGATCTCCATATCAGGGAAGTGGTGGTGGCGAAAGTCTTCAGGCTGGAGCGGCTGGGGGGGGGGGGGGGGCAGGGGCATTGGCAGCAGAGGCTGGGGCAAGAGTGGCAGCAGCCTGCGTGGGATCGGAAACAGGCACCACGACAGTAGGATGCAGAGAGAAATCCACCTCTGTTGCAGCCCCTTCTTTCACCTCAACATTCTCTACAGTCATTGGCACATATCTGAGTAAGACACACAAGTCTGCTTTCAACAAGAGATTCAATCAGTGAAACAAGCCAAATCCAGGATGCCGTAAGCGCCGTTTATGTTCCCTCCCCCACCACTCCCAGAACAGGGCGGGTACCAGTCAGGTCACATCCTGCTGCCACCAGGCCCAACCCTGTGTTGCCTGTAGAGAGGCCAGCCCTTCCAAAGAGACAGGAGAGAGGGAATTCCTAAGAACGGCCCCTCAGGGACCACCTTGGCAGCAAGCTAAGGGAAGACACTTTAACCCATGTAATGCCTGTTATAGGTTTTAATGCTCCCTCCCTCTCCCCAACACCATATCACCCAAACTGGCAGTGCTCTAGGGGCAAGAGCATTCAGTGTGCATCTCCTGTAAGCACATGAAACAACAACTTGGCAGCATCACAGGAATGACTCAGCATAGCAGCTTCTGGCCAAACCCCATAAGCAGGAAGAGACTACGAAGAGATCACATTAAACCATCCAGCCCCCCGGTGCTCCAGAGACATTACCCTGCGACAGCTGCAGTGATGTTATAGGTTCCAGGTACGAGCAATCTGTGGTAGTCACCAAATCGGCCTGCTGTGATGTTATGAGCAATGCCAGCAACAACAATGGTCGCATTTGCCAGGCCAGACCCATTCATCGAGTCCCTGACAAATCCTTTTACTCCCATGTGGACCTGGGGAACAAATCAGAAAGGAACTGATCAAGACAACTGATCCCAGAAACTTCCCCATTATCCCTACTGCTGATAAGTTTAAAACAGAGTCCGGTGAGCAAAAAGTGCCCAGCCAACCTGTAATTCAGAGGGTAGCTTGGCCAGACCACTTCACTGGAGACAAATCCCAGGATAAAACAAAACAGTCACCATCACTCAGAAATCTCTTGGGATCCCTATGGCAGGCCTGCTTTCCCCACAGAGAGGGACCCAAAAAAACCTGTCAAAATTTGTAATCCTGTCTGAATAGGCCTTCCAAAAGAACCTTATATAGCTGGTGACTTCTATTAATTCATAGCTGCCTTGTGGCCACAGGACCACAGAAACACTCCACCACCTGTACTCTCGGGACAGATCTGCCGGATAGGTGTACGTAGGCCTTTGTACCTATGTTCCACAAGCCCCCTTGCGCCACACCTCCTGAGAAGACCGCCCACATTTTACCTTCTCAATGAAAGTGAGGAGAGATTCTCGGTTATTCTCCCATACCTGCTCAAGCTGGGTTGCCATTGGTTGCTTGCAGCAGGACAGCTCAAAGGTGATCTCAAAGCAATCGGCCCACACGTAGTTGTAATCCTGCATCCCCCCTGGGGAACGGGAGAAGATTGGTCTCAAATGGTGAAATGCCAGACCCAGGAAGCACCTCCGACCCTGAAGCCCTCTTGCACACCAGCAGCATCTCTCAGAGCTGTGAAGTCCCTGTGGAGTATGCTGGAAGAGCTGAAAGCCATTGCCTTGCGCCTACTTCTGTATCAGGAGAGCATCTTTCATTGTGCTACTACTATCAAAACAATTTCAGGAAGTAACACCATCCCGATGCAGCTTTCAGAACTATTACTCCCATTCCAGTGCTGGGTGCAGAATCGCCACCCCCCCACCTCCAATGCTACCAAAGACAGGTGCTGCCCAAAGTGCCATCTGATTCTCACCTGTACCCTTGATTTGAGACTGCCACTGAACAATTTCCCACTCCTTCCTGTTTCTCAAAGCCACAGTCACCCCTCACTTCTGTCACTGGTAAACAGCTACAACACCAGACCGACCGACTTCCGTTCTGACCACGAAGGTCAGCTGTGACAGCAGTAGTGTGGCGCAATACCTGAGTCATCGCTAGATACTGGCCTTACTCCAACGGGCTACTTTACCCCATTAAACGTAATGGATATAGGATGCCCAGCAGTATTTGGGACCATTTAGTAGCTACAGCTAAGTCACCAAACCTCCCTTAGTATTTGCAAAAGTGAAGAGGTGTGGGGGGGGGGGGGGGGGAGGAAGAGAGGGGGAGTGTTGAATTTGGGATCCTAAAATAATCCAGAGGCAGCTCAACCTTCTCTCTCTGTAACCCGCTCACCTGCCTTACCATGGCAACTGCAGGCCCTCAGATAAAGAGTGTGAAAGGTGCCTGGTTTCAATATACGCATCTCTGTTCCTTCTGCTGGGTGGAAATTTGAAAGTTCCTATGGCTACCCCTCAGTAAGTCAACTCATCTCTCCAGCCTGGAGAACATGGGCAGAACAGAGCTCTGCTGCTGTTCCTCAAAGATAAGCATTTTCAGCATTGCAAGGTCATGCCCTCACCATTACCACTCTGTCACACAGCTGTATTACAGCTCTGAGCACTCAAGAAGTTTCAACAGTAGCTAGCATGTTACAACACAGCTAAACAAATCCGTGAAACAGGCTTCAGAATCGCCCCGACAGACCAAACCACACTGCTGCTGCCAGATCTCAAAGCCACTTCAGCACTGAGTGTAGTTCCCCCTATGCAGCACTTACGTTCCTCTTTTACCTAGTGTCTAGTACATTCTTGGTGCTCTGGAAGTGAGACTGACTAATGTTGTATCTCATTCTTACAGCAGGATAAAATGATGCACAAGCAGTTAGGTACCCTGCAGGCATTTTTAAAGGGCACATTTTCAGGACAGCTTTGATCTGACATTTAAAATGGGCAATAAACACTTTCACAAGATGAGACCAATATGGAAATATTTCCACAAATCTTTTCTTTATGCAAATGAAAATTTAACAAGTTAACATTCTGTTGCTGTGTTAACAGAACTACTGCAGCACCGTGCTAGCTAGCACATGAGAACCATGCCTGAAACTAAATAGAAACAAGCGAACCACACCATGTTCTCATTCTGGGCAAACCGATGTCTGAGAACCGTATAAATATTTGTGGAAGAGTTCGGCATGACAGCATCGCTTAAGGAAAACTAGAAAAGAAAATCAGTGTTCATCTACTTTTATTCTCAGAAGACAACCCCCACCCATCTGCCCCCTCAAACAAATGCCATCTGGAGTAAAACAAAGTTTTGCCAGTCAGTCACTAGCCCAGAGCAGGATGTTATGAATTTGAGACTTCAATACATGACAAGTCTATCCAGTATTCACCTGCCATTCACAGATGCTCAACCAAAACAGAACGGCAGACTAAATTGGGGCTCAAACATCACTTCTTGAAAAATGGCCCCTCAGAAAGCAGCCCACTGCATGCTATAGAATTGTAATTGTGTTAGCTTCCCATTCACACAGCCCTTTACAAATGCAGGCAGGTTACATCTGCAGTGTAGGAAGTGAGCACCAGGTTTAGAAAAGACACACCGCTACACAAAGGATTCAGAGATTTGCAGAAAGCAAGTACTCTTTGACCCAGCATTTGTAGAAGACATCTGTGACCAGGGGCATCAGATGACACCATGCAGCAGAGCGCAAACAACAAAGCAACAAGTGTCAAACCAAGACAAAAAGTACTTTCATTCTGTGCAGCTAGCGTAATCAGGTTTGGGATAATTCAGGCTCTATGAAATTCGCATTAATGAGAGCACAGGGTCAAGGAATCCAAGCTCTCCCTTGCACTAGGACTGCAGCTGCAGGGGGGAAGGGCTGGCTGCCAATGCAGTTGCTAGAGATAAGAGATTAGAGGGCATGGGTAGTAGAGGGAGGCAAGGGCCATAAGGGCGAGCAGGCATTAAGAGCCAGCATCAAGGATTTAAGGGCAGCATCTGAGAATGCCAGTCTTTGCTATGTCAGTTTCCTGTTGGGAGTTGTGGCTGAGAAGAGGCACTATGGAGGGTGGGGAGAACCTCCCCTTCACTTCCTATGGCAGTGGAATACAAACAGGAAATTGAACCCATGCTCCTCGCCCACAGGAGGAACAGGAAGCCCACAGCTGCCGTCTGAGGAGTTGCTGTAGGGCTGTCTGAGGAGCTAGATCAGCAGCTCCAACCCCACTCATGTTTCTCTAGCTGTGTTCAGAGGAGAGCTGACCCCCTACCAGAGGGGTACTCAGAGCACTTCATGTGAGTAAATAGCTCCTTGTTACCCAACTGACAGGATAATCCCAACTATCGATATAAAATGACAGGAATTAAATTAATTGTTACCGCTCATTGTAGACAGTGCTCTGAAAACATCCATTCAATGTGCAGCGGCAGTCAAACAAGCAAACAATCATTAAGAACGGAATAGAGAAGACGACAGAATATCTTATTGCTCTGTATAAATCCACTAGGAGATTTATCCTGCGTTGCTTGGTCCTTCAGTCAATTTTTTGTTTTTTGGAAAATAAAATGAAAATGTCCATGCTTCATCTGAGTCATTGCTCTGGGGTGGGACTGGAGACAAGGGGTTCAGGATGCAGGCTGCCTGGGGAGCCTATTCTAGGATTCTACAACAGAATTCAAGAAAGAACTTGATACATTCATGGAGGGACTGGTCCATCAATGGCTGTTAGCCAGGATGGACGGGGAGAGCGTCCCTAGAAGCTGGGAATGGGGGATGGACATGGACCACTGGATTCCCGGTTCTGTTCATTCCCTCTGGGGCACCCAGCATCGGCCACTGTCAGCAGACAGGACATGGGCTAAATGGACCTCTGGTCTGAACCAGTCTGATGTTCTTATGAGACCCAGGAAAGAGCAGGTTCTGGCCCAGAGAACAGTACTCATTTTCTTTTGTCTCATGGCCTGCAGCTTGGGTAAGAATCCCACCGGCAAACCTACTGGGCTAAAGGGAAAAGCACTGCAGAACTCAACCCCATCCTGCCAATAACTGTGTGCACACACGCCACTGTGTTCTTATTCCCTTCCCCTGCCAAACTACACAATAGGTGGGCAGCCATGGGAATCGAGCCATGGACTAGCTTACTGGCATTGTGGAGAACACCACTGAATTCTCTTTGCAAGGAGGAATACCCTTCACATCAGCCTCATGGGTGCCATGGAGGGGGGGAAAAGGGCTGAGGGGGGCAGCTCCCCTCCCCCAATTTCTCTCTAGCCAGCACAGAGTGAGAGCAACACAGGTAGTTTTCTTTACTCCTCTACAGTGTTCCCTGTAAGCTGCGCGGCTGTTTTCTGAGCCCAGCATTTCAAAGCTCACCACTCTAGCTGAGGCAGAGAGCTCAGCTGATCACCAGAGCGTAGGACATCTGGCTAAGCAGCAACGGCTGCGTGCTTGAACTGAGAAGCGCGCAGAGCCAGAGCAGGTAAGTAGGGGGAGATATTTATAAGAGGAAAGTGGTTGGGGGGAGGAAGGAGGGAGTAATTGGCTGGGAGAGGTCAGAGGGGAGGAGAGTTTAGAAAGTCCCCTCTGTGCCAGGAGAGGGGGCAGAAACAAACTCAACACTCTACAGCTTCCTGGGCTGGGAAGGGGGAGGTAAGGTGCTGACTGCATGGGGTAGGTGGGAAAGAGGGAGTGGGCGGGTGTTGGCTTTGGGGCGAAGCAGGGGGTGGGGGGGAAGGAGTTTGTTTGTGCCATGTCCTGTAGGCTGTTTGTGCCTGCAAGGTTTAGAATCAGGATTGAGCAGATTGTACAGGGATAGGTGGGGAAAGAGGGGATGGGTGAGTGCTGGCATTGGGGTGCCTTTATATTTATTTTAATTTATTTTTGCCATGTGGCTTCTACTTCCTTGTCCCAAACTCAAGCTGTCCAGCACATGGTCTGGATGCCCTAGCCTAGAGTTCTGTCCAATGGCATGGCCCTGCATCCTTGCTGAGTCATAATGCATCCCCTTGGTCTTCTCTCAGTGGGTCAGCTGACTAGGCAGAGCATTACTAAACTGTCTGTGGGTGTCTCAGTCTTGGGGGCAAGGGGAGTATCATAGACAGTATCACTGTCAGCTTACCTTCCCTATGGACAAGATAGCAGAGCAAATGATTAACTTGCACAACACCTAGCCTTCTAATGTGTACTGCGAATGCTATGTGGTTCAGTTCCCATAGATGCTGCCACTAAGTTACACAGAAACAAATCTGCAGGGTTGGAGAATACCTGACCTGGAGTTTATGGCTCACCGGTCGCTGAGGAGCTTCTTTTCACAGAGAGGATGGAAGCCTTTACAGGTCTCTGTACGGGGCAAATTTCCAACCCCAGCAACCACAGCGCAGAGATGGCATGAACAAAATGAACTGACTCGTGCTTTACTTCTGTCACTTCCTCAGCCAGAGCACACGTATCAAAGCCTGCACTTCAGCCAGGGCCTGAAGATAGTTGACTAAAATACCTCGGATGCTGATGCAGAAGCCATCAAGAACATGCTTACAAATCCTGGCAGTCTGAGTCACTGTCAGTCTTACACGATACAAGCGGCCTGCAAGTGCTTACTGACTACCGCTACCTCACAGCAGCATTAGGACCACGTGGACCAGCTACTGTTGAGTGTCTCAACCTCCTTCAAATAAGCACACTCATTTCACATACACAAAAAGGTTAGCTGTGGAATCAGCTCATCGCAAGGTCTGAATGTTACTGTTGTACTATACACGCTGACTAGCTTAGATGTTTCACAGAACTGTTCCCAGAAGAAGGTAGCTCCAGGATATCCTGGTTCTGTCAAAGCAGAGTCATGAGGCCCCATAACCCTTTGCTTGTTCTGACTCCCTGTACAAATACAACCAACCTCAGTAAGCCTACATACAGCCTATGCCTCTTAGGCCTGCTCAATGGGCAGGAGTAGGGAGCAGCTCTTAAGGAAAACTCATAAAACTGAGTATTATTTGGACAGTGAAATGCCCAGCAATGAGTCAGCTATAACGGGGAAAACAGATTTAGATCTTTTCCTTCTACCAGCATATGGGTGCTGCAGATCAGTTTTTGGATTCCTTCCCAAGAAGTGTGGACTTTGAGTCATTCCACTCCTAAACCCAGACATCAAATATCTCGTAGGAATTAGGGCACCATAAAGTTTCAAGCCTTCAGTAGGCCTTTTTAATTCTGCAGCCTAATTACGGCTCACTCCATAGCCCACTCAGCTTCAGTGTGGGCAAAGACTGGAATGTACCAGGTTACAGAGCTGTGCTATGCTAGCGCCACTTCTATTTTGTCCTCCATGACAAGAGCCCTCACCCTATCTGGCAAGTCTATGTTTGTGTAACAGTCTCAGCCAGGAGCTAGGACGAGGGTAAACACACTACGTAATGGCCCACAGGACTTTTCCGGAATTGCATGGCATCAAACAAACACCAACGTGAAGTATGTTAATTGGCAGGAGACAAATACCCATCAAAGACAGGCTCTACAATATGGCTGAGTCATGTCATCTGCCCTCCAAAGAATAGGGCATGGGGAAATGGTAAATTTACATTCAAGTCATTTAGCTACACAAAGTGATACATTAGCCCCACACTTGCTAATGTCTGGGGCTCTGTTAAGGACTTTAAGGAAAGCTCAAATATTCTCACTGGCTGTCCACTAAGCTGAGCATTTTCATTGGATGTTTGTTAATGAAGCCTTAAATGGACCCAGAACCTAGACCCTAAGTTTAGGAGAAGTTGAGTGGCAAGGGATTGTCTTCTACATTTAACACGTTTTGGATACAAACCAAATGAAGAAAACAGTCCGACGTTAAATTCTTCCCCTATCCTGGTTGCAAATGAAACCCTGCAGCCTCATCATTAGTACACAAGTGTCTGTAAGTGAAAGTGGCTAGTCCACTTCCATTGTCCAAGCAAAGTCAATTAGGTTTTTTTTTAAATTGTGGGAATTCCTAAAAGTAGGAATGTTCTGTAATATTTGTATGAATCCTGTCTACATATCAGCTCCCGTTATCAATAGAACATCTTAGAAGACAATGCCAAATCCAATCCCCAGGACACTGACACCCAGTAATCAAAGGATAGAGACTTCCCCACTTCTTAGCAGGGAAACTGATCAACTATCGCCAGCTCGGTAACAAAGAACTGGAGAAGGGTGAGGCATGGTAATAAGTGCTGGCTGCTGGGCTCTCCCCTGGAGTCTGACCAAGGAAGTCAGATGGCACTTGAACACAGGAACAACATTACAGCATGGCTGGGCTCCATGCTGACCAGGATGGTCTATAATTTAATCTTCATTTCTCCACACTAACCTAGGGACTTTCTAAGCTGCGTTCCATTCAACTAGTAAGCTCAACTACTTTGGCAAAACTGCATGGATGTCACTGCAATTCTGGGTGAAATCGACAACCTCTCAGTGCACAGGAATCTCCACCAGAAGACTCTCCCAGTGGGACACGATGAACAGAGCTCATGATGGTCTGAAGGCCTAGAGGCCAAGTCTAAGGAGACAATGAAGCTGCAAGGCACCAGGCACACTCAAAGGTTTCTCCCAGGGAGACTGTTAGCAACCTGGTGGCATGGTTCCAATCTTGTGCATCCCTGGCACCGAGTCTTACTAATCAGAGGTTTAAAAATGGGCTGTTTAAAACATCACAACCGAAGTTACCAGTGCAGAACACCCACCCCTCACCAGAGTTCACCAAAGAGACCAAACAATGGAACAAAAGAAACTCAAGAGAAGGCATGACCATACAAATAGCTTAAGATCTGTGATGATCAGTGATACACTAACAGTTTCCACCGATTTTCAAATATATCTAAAGTGCATATGCCTAGTTTCTCACTTTAATTGTGTTTTCAAATATGCTTAGGGTAACCACACACAGTAGACTTTATCCCCCAACCCAGGTTCCCAATAGGGATCCACCAAGCCATTGCAGGAGGCCCATGGCTCCATTTGCTTTGTTTCAGCTGACTTAAAAGCTAAAAATACATTTCTTTCTTACTCCTGCTTTTCAATGGCTGGTACTGAAAAGGGAGCGGAGATGGCCCACAAAAAGACAAGTGAGAGGGGAGGGCTCAGTGACACATGCCATTAAGAAGGGATCCAGACAAAGAGCTGGAGAACCCTGCTAAGCATGGTACTGAAATAACTTACCTTCTACATCATACCAATGAGCTCCATTAGTGATGCCATCCTTGAATGTTTCCAACTGCTCCCCTGGGCACTGTGGGGTGCCAGTTTTCATTATCGGGTGATTTGAAGCGTAAGCTTTTGCCAGGTATTTAAACACTTCATCATCAGCTGATTTGCTATAGATGCCATTGGGCTCGTGCATGGGAGAGTCATCAAAGGGATAGCTCGCAACCACAGAGCCCCCGTGCAGGTTCCCAGAGAGCACAAACCTGGTTTTCAAACAAAAGCAAACACTTATTAGAACCAGACAGAGCACAGGAGGGCAGAGGTAACTGCCAGCACCCGCCACCACGATTAACATAGCTCCTTCTGGCACAAAGTACTTTTGAAACTGCTTGGAATTTTGCAACAGTAAGTGAACAGCCCTATAACTAATGTAACACTGCATCATGAGTAGAGTTTTGCTACATTTTATATATATAGGCTATGCTATATCGGAGACACATACACAGCCTACGTTAGATAGGCTCCAGCGGTATCTGGTGCCAGCTACTGTCAGAGACAGAATTCTAAACTAAATGGACTTCAGGTCCAACCTCTTAAGGCTTTGGTTAGTATTTGCAAGAGTTCTTCCTGGCCTAAAGTGTTCCAGCTTTTCTGTAAGTCAGGGTAGAGAGTACCTTATGTCCACCCAGGCCCACTTCGCTTGAAATATTTCATTTTATTTTTAAAGAGAAAGAAATCAAAGAATCCTAGGGCTGGAAGAGACCTCAGGAGGTCATCAAGTCCAGTCCCCTGTCCAAAGCAGGCCCAACCCTAACTAAAGGAAGGAACACTGTTCATCTGAAGAGTTTATTTCTCCTAGTTTGTGGTCTGTCTTACAGGCTGCTGCCTTTGAGCTACAGTTCAGACTCAGAAGACTGCAGTCTGCTGCTAGAATAGCAAATGAGGCAAAATTCACAAAGATTATTTTGAAGTAACAGGCATTGATAGTCTCAAGATGCTCAAAGAAAAGGCTTCTCTCCCCAGCTGCCTTGGCCTAGGCACTGATGCATCACCATGGCAGCTACTATCTTTACAGCTTATAAAAAGCAGCCATTACATCATGTATCCTGCTTTGATAGGAAATGTGAGCATATCCACTTCTACTGAAACAACTTCAGCTCCTTATGTAAAGTTCAGTAGCCAGCAGCCCTTTTCCAAGTTTTAAAGAATGGGTGAAAGATTAAGAGACTTATGCTGCAGTAAGGAATGGACAGGTAAATACCAACAAGAGTGCAGCAGGCTCAGTACCTCTGTACTTCCTTAGTCTAGTCACAGGAAGCTGTAAAACTCTCTCTACATGTAGGTCAGGAGGGTGCTGTGGCTGGAGCACCCGCATGGACTGCCTTGCAGCACTGCAAGGGAAAGGGGTGAACCCCAAGCAAGCTGTGGGCTGGATTGGGCCTGTAGGCTGTGCCTGTTGCTAGGAGGGAGCGGCTTTAAATGCTGCAGGGATATGCTCCCTCCAGGCACCATCCCCCATTGCCCCAGTTGGTTGGGAATCTCAGACAACGGGAGTGACAGGGATGGTGCTTGCAGGGAGCAAATCCCCGCAGCATGCCGACACTCCTATGTCACCCCAGCCCATACACTAGTCCTCCTCTCCGCTCCTGCATTCATCCTCCCTCTCACCCCGATCCCACATCCTCATCCCTAGCCTGCTCCTGCATCCTCCCTCCTGTCCAGACAGTGCGCCTTCACTGCCAGCCTGCTCCTGCACCTTCCCCTCCCTCCCTCCCTCCCTCACCCCCAGCCAGTTCCCGGGCAGCCCCTTCCTCCACAATTAACCCCTCATTTCTGGCCCCATCCTATAGTCTTGGGGGACCCACAAAATTCACTAGCCACCAGAAGAGTTAGTCTAGCCCAGGGGGTACACACTGATCCTCAATGCTTCTCTTGCCTGTGGGACCAGAGCTTGAGACAAGTGAGGGGAGTGTGTTTTTTCCTGCTTCTCAGTTGGGGGCCATATTTGAGAGGGGTTTTTTCCCCTTCCTTCTCGCTCACAGGTCAGAGAGTTGTGGGATTTATTTATTTAGCTTCTCACTTGTGTGTGGCTCACAACTGATTTTACTGTGGGTCAGTAGGAGGGATGTGAAAATATAACTGTGTACATGGTTAAGCCTAGGCTCACTGGTTAACGTTCAAGTTACACAAAGGCTCCCAGGACACATGATGAGCCGGCTGTGCCCTGTAGCAGAGGCAGCATGGGGGAAAATGGGGAGGGAATTCCCAGCTGACACTGGGTTGCACAGGGTGAGTCAGAGCAGCAGATGCTGGCTCCATGCAGCGCTTCCCCTCTCCCCACTCTCCGCCTCTTTCTGATAGCTTGTCAGCTATCCGATAAGCATTTGCTTACTGGATAGTCGACTAGTCAACCACATCCCCACATATAACTGCTGAAAATTTCAGTAGTTACATAATTACTTAATACACCTTTTAACATCCCTAGTCAGTGGCTCCTTATCCAAAAAGTGCCCTGCATATATAAAACAAGCTTTTTGTTCTCATTTGTTATAATACTATAGAAAAGTTCAGGTTTGTCTCCTTGCTATTCAACCTATGTTTATTTGTGTTATTAAGCAGAGTTGACATAGTTAAAGCCTTTTCAAAGCAAGTTACAGGATGCGAATCAGAGCACATAAATGAGACTGTAAACATTACCTCCCTTAGAGGTTTTGAAACAAATGGTTTTATTTACTCACTCAGTTTTGTATGAGTGATGAAATTAGCATAGCAGTTATAACACCCAGCCAGAGGATAGCATCATGCATTGTATTGTTTCTACACAGAAAAGTAGCTTTTTTGGCAGCAGTGGTCTGTCAAAACATTTTTTAAAATTTATTTTAAGCTATTGTTTGGAACCCAGAGACTGTTCCCCTCTAGTTAATTTTGAGCAAGAGCAATTTTAAGTTTAGATTAATTGTGTACTGCAACACATCACTAGAGTTGGCAGTAAAGTTCAGCAAGCATGCTGTCCAATGCATCAAGTTCCCTGGGGGGCCAGAGGTGAATCAACAACTCAGACTATTAACTTCTCTTACAGCTGTAATACTGGATATTTGTACCTTGTGATCGAAATACACGAAGTCTGTTAAAATTTAACATGAACTTTGGAGAAAAACTTGAACTTCCACACTTCATTGTGTAGATGCAACTGTGATATTAAGCATCAGCCTGTAACAACCGCATTTCACTAGACAAACTTAGCCAAAAAGTACCAACAACGTATGGTACAGCATTCAATTTCACTTTGGAAGATGTTTACAATTTGTTTCAGTCTATCAAGTCATACCTGATCAAAATTTCTCAACAGCAAACAGATAGCAGTCATCCTCATTTTCCAGACTTGTATAACAAGAACTGCGTGTCCCTGTTGCACACACTTTATACTATGGTTCCATGGTAGCTATCCTGTAACTGTCTTCAGATCTATCTTCAAGAAGTTAAGAGAACTTTACTCAATCTAATCAGGATTTTCTTTTACAAATTCATTCAAGAAACTAATAGCAAATGAGACAGTCACAGAAGATAGAGAACTGGACTTCATAACCCAATTTAGCTAGCTATTCTCCCTTACTTGTCTGGATTAGTATGGTCTATAACAGTGTTTTTCAAACTGTGCTCCGTGGAGCCCCAGAGACTCCACGAGACATCTTCAGGGGCTCTGCGAGGTTGACAAACTGGAAACATAGATAGGTACAAAACATACAATCAGTGGACCGCTGAGGCTCTGCATAAATTTTTACGCATGTAAAGGGCTCCGGAGCCCAAAAAGTTTGAGAACCACTTGTCTAAGTTTATCAGTGCTCTTCCCTTTCTTTGTGACAATCAGGAGCTGGAAGGCTAATGTATTATTGTAGGCTCTCAGGGCCCAAACCCACAAACACTTAATAGAACTACTGACATGCATGAACATTTGCAGGAGCAAGACCTACATCTAGAAGCATTTAGCAATAATTCTCTATGCATCAGAGAGGTACCCGTGTGAGTCTGAATCTGCAATAAATCTCCAATAAATCTGCTCCAATAAATCTGTTAGTCTCTATGCATCAACAACAAGAAGCAATGTGCAGAAAATTTATTATGAAACTCACAACACATGCCAGACCTCAGTATTTGGGGATCTGTATGTATTAAAGCAACAGGTTTGGGGCATATTGCTGAAGATCAGACAACTACTTATGATAAGAGTTAATAATCCAGGTCCAAAAGCAAACGTCGCCAAGTATCTTCAGGCGACCTACATCCTAAAAATAAGTTTCTCTTTGAGTCTGCTCATTTAACTTGCCATGAAGAGGGGACTCTATATGAATAATTTAGGTTACTATAGCCCTGTTTTGATTAGCTAGGAAAACCCATTGCTTAATGGTACTTTAAGTGCAGCGGTCCATAAAGAAACCAACATGGTTTCTGGGGCAGAGGTGCACGTGGGCCTTTGTGCAGCTAAACAATAAAAACGGTTCTATTCATAAGAAGCCTGCTGTAGGCGCCAGCACATAACGAGTTGGAGTCAGTTGCTAGCTGTCCCAGCTGCCTCCAGGTACCACACAAGGGGAACTAGCGGGCACTGGTACAATGCAGAGCGAGGAGATTTCAGGATAAGGAAAAAGCATTATCGAGTCTGGACCATTCTGCTCTGCGGCCCCAGCCCAGCATCAACCCCCCTCCCCACAGTCACCCCCCTGCTGCCCCTCCCACGCGCAGAGCGGATCTACGGGCTCGGGGACCCTCCCCCGGGGGCCAGACCCCCCCAGTCACACCCTGAGCGGACAAAGCAACCGCCCCCCCC